CTCACAGACCATCACTTTCTTAGCCGTTCGCAAGCCCTAAGTCTTAAAAAAAAAAAGCCAAGCCCCAAATCCACATCGTGATCCTGGTTACAAAGAAGAGAAAACGAAGCAAGCAGACTGCCAAAACAGATGGCAGGCGAAGCGCAGATATTAACCTCCAAGGCTTGTTGGAACAGCCATGTTTTTTAGCAGTTTTCCCGGAAGATGATTAAAGGGAAGATTTGGGGTGGGGGGCTTATTCCAGGGAGACAAGGCAGCAGTGGAAAAATAACTGTTCTCCCTGACTTTTCATCTCCCAAATTAAGGACTGTAGAAGCCGCCCGTCCACAGCTTCGGAGCTACCTGCAAATCTATATAAGCAGTTTCCACCCCTTTTAAAAATGGAAGGCGATCCTCTTCTGGGTTGTTGAGATAGAGGAGGAGGGATATTGGGGGATATTGGAGAATAGGTTGACCCCCCCCTCTTCTTTGTGGCAACCCCTTAGATAGCAGTGTTCCAGAGTGGGGTCAGCTTGTTCTCCAAAGCACCTGAAGGCAGGACAAGAAGCGATGCATGGAAAGTAATCAAGAAGAGGAGCAACCTAGAACTCAGGAGAAATTTCCTGACAGTTAGAACAATTAATCAGTGGAATAAGTTGCCTTCAGAAGTTGTGGGTGCTCCATAGCTGGAGGTTTTTAAGAAGAGATTGGACAACCATTCATCTGAAATGCTATAGGGTTTCCTGCCTGAGCATGGGGTTGGACTAGAAGACCTCCAAGGTCCCTTCCAACTCTGTTATTCTGTTAAATTGTTCTGTTGAAATGCCTTGTTAGTTTTGCAGCTTCCAACCAGACCATCTTACAGTCCCACATCTCTCTGCGTAATATGGGATAGCTTGATCTCACATGGTTTCTGTGGAAGAGGAAAAATCTCTCCCCACTAGGTGTTTCTGCCTCGTGTTGGATGAATTGGGGTACCTGTCTTCCTGCAGGTGACTAAGTCCCAGCTTTAGAGGTGATCAGGTATGGTCTGAAAAGGAAACGGTGATGTGCTCCAGGTGTCCTACAACTCTCTTGGGATTCATCCCATTGGGCTGAAAAATACTGAAAGAAAGACCTGGAGAAGGAGAAAGAGGGACACTTTCAGGGTGTCAACTTGGTCTTTGACTAAGTTCTCCACAACCTTTCCTTAACAGTCTTTTCTTTGAGGGCCCTGAGTTGAACTTTTCCTTCAGGGCTGTGGGAAGCTGCAATTTTGTTCTGAGAGTCTGAAATAGGCCATGAGTCTCCCTGATGTGTGGATCAATTTGTAAGAGGCGTGATTTGCATCCCTGGGGTTGGTGTCTTGCTGGTAAGGAGAAGGGTTGAATAGGTCTCTCGGTGTCTGTCTTCATCTGTTAGGATCAATATTTCAGAAGAAAGAGAGCCAAACCAATCATAAAAAAGCTACTCTCCTCTTTGCTCTAGTTTGGCGATCTGGAAGTTTGCAACGCACAAACCAAAGCTTAGGATCCGTCCATTAGACGGCTAGCCTTGAAAGAATGCATTCTTGGCTGCTTTAAATCAGGACGCTGTAAAGGCCTTTATGCATTTTCATAGCTTCCTAATGGGCAAACTGTTCTAAATTTAGCCTCTTGTTCCGTGGCTAAACATGGGGAGAAGGTGACTGCTCAGAGGTGCAATTTGCTTTTGCTGAAGGTCACAGATCCACTCTCTGGCCTCTCCAGGGAAGAATACAATCATGTCATCCTCTCCCTCCCCCTCCCCCCCCCCAGCATTTACCAGTCATTGTAAATCAAGAGTAGATACAGTTTGTTTTTCTTCGTTTGTCTCACTCTTTTGGGGATAATCTTTTGCATGTCGAGATGGTCCTGGGGAGCTAAAAAAAAAAAAAAAAAAGCAGTGGGGGTATCAGGAGTTAAATGCGAGCAGGACTATCGGGGAGCAAATGGCATTCAACCTTTTGTGAAGTCATCATGAAAATAATTTACACGACACGTTTGCCTCCCAAGCTCAGACGATCATCTTGCTGCTGCTGATGCAGATTTCTTCATTTGTGAGGTGATGTCACGACACACTGCGTTGTCGTCTGATGTCACCCTGACTGTGCACACATGCCTTTGATATGACGGTCAGATCTTTCTGACAGTCATCTCTTGGGTTGCATTCCTACAACCCCGTCTAATCAGATTGTGGAAAGATTTAGTAGCTGCACGTCTCTAAAAGTGCTGAGGTTGGATAGCGTCAGTCTTTGTGGGTTTGGGGGAGAGGAGGGTCAGCCTATTGAGCGAAGCTGCCCCATAGGATTCACTTATGGTTTAGTGCAGGGGTAGGCAACCTTGGCTCTTTTATGACTCCTGGACTTCAACTCCCAGAATTCCTGAGCCAGCCACGCTGAGGGGAAAGGGAGAGGTTTCCAAGCTGAGCCATGCTGGCTCAGGAATTCTGGGAGTTGAAGTCCACCAGTCATAAAAGAACCAAGGTTGCCTACCTCTGGTTTAGTGCAAGGATTCCTAATCTTTAAGATGTGTGGGCTTCAATCCCCAGAATTCCCCAGCCAGCCTGATCCCCTCACTGCTTTTTTTTTTAACTCCCCAGGACCATCTTGACATGCAAAAGATTATCCCCAAGAGACCGAGACAAGTGAAAAACAAACAAACTGTTTTTGTATTAAACGCGTCTGTCTGGCTGACGATCGTAACTAGGGCTTATTTTGGGGGGTAGGGCTTATATTACGAGCATCCTGAAAAATCACGCTAGGTCTTATGTTCCGGTTAGGTCTTATTTGCGGGAAAACCCGGTATTTGTGTCAAGCAACCTGCAGCCCATCTCGCTCTCAGCTTAAATTCAGAAGACATAAGCGGTTCTTGAAGCCAAACTCAACTCCTATGTAGCTTCTCATACCCAACCTTCTTTAGCTTTATTTTTTTAAAATCAGCCCAGTTCAGCTAATCAAGTAGGGGCTGCCTCTCGCCAATGACAAGAACCTTCTGTTGAGCACCAAGTTAGACTTGGAAGAGGAACCTACCGTACAGCTACTCAGGAGTGGAGTTTGGCTTAAAGAACCGCTTATGTTTTGTGAATTTAAGCTGAGACACCATTGCAACGTCCCGTGTGTGTGTGTGTGTGTGTGTGTGTGTGTGTGTGTGTGATGTGATCCCCCTTTTGCGACCTTCTGACAAACGAAGGCAATGAGGAAGCCAGATTCACTTAGCCAGGGCTTTTCAACCAGTGGTACGGATACCACCTGTGGTACATTGGCATCTGGCAGGTGGTACGCGACCATCCTAGAAAAATGGTAGCGGGGGGAGGGGAATGAGCTGAACCGGTGGCAGCACCGCACAAGCCTGAGCGAGAGACGGCTGGAGCTGCAGGGCTGTCAGGGCTCAGTGGAAGCGCCAGGATCAGCGCCAGGCTCCAGCTGGAGCTCAGCACTGATCCTGGCGCTTCTGCTGAGCCCAGAAGAAGCGCTGATCAGCTGGAATGTTGCAGCATCTCCAGGGTCTTATGATTTACATTCAGATGCTTGGCAACTGATTCATATTTATGACGGTCACAGTGTCCCAGGGCCATGTGAAGTGACTAAAACCTACTGCAGCCACCCAGCAGATGGGGGGGGGAATAAAAACCAAACACCCCCCCACCCCACCCCCGCTGCCAATCCTCAACAGAAATGCTCACAACGATGAAAACCTCGGACAGGAGGAAGAACACCGCCGGGCGGGCAGGCAGGTGTCTTGCTCAGCTGTGGCTTGGGGGGCACTTTTTTCAGTGCCATTGTAACTTCAAACAGTCACTAAGCGAACTGTTGTAAGTCGAGGACTACCTGTACTTTATCACTTTTTTCCTTTTTTTTTTTTTTGGTCATCAAATTTTTGACACCTTGCTAGGCGACTGGTGGTACTCGGATGCTGCCATATCCTAAAAGTGGTACAATGGGTGAAAAGGTTGAAAAGCCCTGAACTTAGCAACTGTACGTTGAGGACTACCTATACTGAGATCTCTGCGGAAAGGTGGAGGGGTTGAGCAAGGTCTGGCTGCTAAGAGGAGAAATTGTGGCCGCCTTGTTCCAGAGCCTTCAGCTAAATTGAGCAGGACTGCGAGGTTCCACCAATGAGTAAAACACTTGGCTGTGAGCTCCGAAGGGCCACTACACACACACAAAAAATAAGTAATTTATTAACTTCAACGAATTTTTCACTTTGTCCTTTAGGCAGGAGGTCAAGGGTACTTTTTCCCTCCCCTTCTCCCTTTTTTCTTCCCAGGCTTGTAGAGGACAGTTACGTTGAGCAGCATCCCACTCTGCATTAATAGTTTGTTTGCTCCAAAGCATTTCCCCCCCCTCTTCTTCGTAGGATGCCTTTGAGTAAAAACTCTGCACAGTGCTGGCATGCAGCTTAAGAGTGTGCTTTTGTATATTTTGTTTAGAAAGGTCTATCCCAGGGTGGTTTGCCTAATGTCATGTAGCAATCACACCATAAAAGCCACGTTCTGAAAAAGCCCAGAGATCTGATCGTTTTCTTTTGTAACTGTGCGATGTGAAATTGAGGTAGTAAGTACAGAGTGGCGTTAAGATTGTGGAGAGAGAGAAGCCTGCATTTTGAGACAGAATTGCTTTTAGTGGCTCAAAGTAACAGGGCAGGGTGTATACGGGGGCAGGTTTATAAGTAAGTGAGCAAATAAGTTTATTGTTGTAACCAGAAATCATAACATGTGAATGTCAATGGAGATTGTCAGTCATTCAGGTGGAGGTTGTCCCAAAGGTGCTGTTTTCAGGAAACAACTGGACTTCCTTGTTTTTTCTTTGAAGAAGTTTCACTTCTCATCCAAGAAGCTTCTTCAGCTCTGGATGGTGGGGAATGGAAAGATTTATACTCCTTGCAGACAGCTGGTCATTTGCCTTCTTTGAGAGAGTCGTTGAGGCCACTTGGAGGTTTATCTGTGTCCTCAAGGTCACTTGTGTGGTGCAAATGGCTGTAGAGCCTTCTTGGCTGCAGGATGTTTTCTGCCCTGTGTCGCAGGCTCCACACACCTTTGCACTACTCAGGTGACCCTGAGGACACAGGTAAAACTTCAAATGGCCTCAAGGGTTCTCTAAAAGTATGCAAATGACCAGCTGTCTGCAAGGAATATAAACCCTTCCCTTCCCCACCATCCAGTCAGAGTGTCATGGTTCCGAAAGATGAAACTCTTCAAAGAACTTTGAGGCATTAGTTTACCTTAAAGAATCTTTAATTGAGCAGCATAGCTTCAGTAGGTACATAGTTGAAGCCAAAATCTGACTTCCCCTCCCTTCAGCACATAGATCAAAGCACAATTCCCTCCTACAACTAACAGTCATGAATCACATTCTCCAATTAGTTTGAAATGCTGGCTTCCCGCCCAGTTTTCTCTCCCGCCATTCTTTATCAGCTCTTGTTATGGTATTGTATGTCTAACTAACTCCCATCACATGCCTCCCCCTCCCCCAGATCATCTAATTCTAAGAATACAGTATGAGAAAGAAAAAGGCTGCATCTCCATCTGTTGTCAAAGCAAGAACATCCAAAGTTAGCAGCATTGACACAGAGCTGAAGAAGCTTCTTCGGATGAGAGGGGAAACGTCTCCAAAGAAAAAACAAGAAAGTACAGTTGCCTCCTGAAAAAGCAACTGTATGATTGTATTTTATTGTATTTTATGAGAGGCCATAAAATACAATAAAACTCTGAATTTGCAAAATAAAGTTCAGATAGTCCTCAGCTTACAACTATTTGAAGTTGTAACTGCACTGAAAACAGTGACTTATGACTCGTCCTTTCACTTATGACTGTCACACATCCCCGACGGCCACATGATCAAATTTGCGTAGTTGTGATGGCTGCAGCCTCCCCTCACATCATGCGGTCACCATCCCAGCCAACTCCCAACAAGCAAAGTCAATGAGGGACGTGGGATTCACTTAACGACTGCCACGATTTACTTCACAATTGTGGCCAGAAAGGTAAAAACGGGTGTGAATCACTTTAACAACCGCCTTGCTCGGCCGCGGAAATTCTGATCTCCGTTGCAGTCGTAAGTTGAGGACTTCCTCTATGAAAAGAAAAAATTTAGACGTAAAAAAAAAAAAGGTTACAGCAAAATAAAGCCAAAGCTAGAGAAAAAAAAAACTTAAAAAATTGCTTTCTGAGTTCAAATAACAGCCAAGCCAAAATAGCAACTTGCTTGCTGATGCGTCGGACCACGTCTGCAAGAAGTTCATTCATGTGGATTTGGAGACGGTTCGTTTGAAGACAGGAGGAACTGGGGGTGAGGGATAACCGCACCCTTAAACCAAAATGGCGGAGCCTTTGGCCTTTGCAGCAGTTTGGCATCTTGCAGTCTCCCATTTGGTCTTAACAGCTTTCTGTCCAGAAAGCTCTGGGGCTAATAAATGGAGATCTCCCTTGCTTCTGAAATAGTTTGGCTTTACTTGACTCTGCGGAGCGTTGCTAGTTGCCTGAGATAGTCCCGTAGCCACATCTTTTGGGGCCAACGAGAATCAAAGGATTGTGCTCAGAAAAGGGCCAGGGGTATAGTTTAATTTGCATTTAGATTGAATTAAATTACATGAATTAAAGGCCGTTCACAGGGACACATCCTGCAGCGTCTCTAGGAGTAATCTCCTTCTTCTGACAGATTCAAAAGTTGTCCCCAGACTGTAATTTGGTGGCAGCTTTGGTGGAAGAGCTTGGCGTGGGCTGCCTCCAGATCCTTTTTGGCCATGTGACTTTAGAGACTTTGATGGGGTGTTCCTAATGGTTTTGGGGGCTGGGGGGGCAAACGACAGCATTTTGCTGAGATATTCACAATTGGTGCTTTTAAAACTCTTCTAGAATTCCTCCTGTCTCTCAAATGGTTCTCCTGAAAAAGAACAGTTGTAGAAGCTTCCTGCTTCTGATCCTAAATGTTTTTGACATATTTATTACATCGCCATCCTTCGAAGGAGCTCTGTGAGTCTCATTTTATTTTATTTTTTTTCCTTAACGACCACAGAATGACTTAGTTTTAGGCTGACAAATGTGTCTAGCTTAGGGAATCATCCAGTGAGAATTTGTGACTCCTGGTGCTTAATGCTCTCCTGTCAGGCTTGCTATATATCTCACTGCGAAAGAGTACAATTTTCATTTTTTCCCCTCCATCCTAAGCTACTATCTTCAGATTTTTTCTTTCTATCTCCTTCTTTTCTATGCAGATTTAGGGGAGCTGTTATTTCTATTCTGGGGTGCTTGAGGGCAAATTCCTGACAATGGCTTTCAAGATGGCCCGGGTCATGCTTTATGAAAAAGCAGAATATGGCTTGTTTTTTTTTAATGTAGTGTCTTATGTAAATCACTCGTTATTGATTAGGGAGATAGATGAAAGTTTCCTCTGTAGTTTGACCAACACTCTATCCCAGTGATGGCGAACCTTTTAGAGACTGAGTGCCCAAACTACAACCCAAAACCCACTTATGCATTGTTGAGTGCCGGGTGGGTGTGGCCCATTGGCTGGGTGTGGCCAGTTGGGTGGGCGTGGCCCATTGGGAGGGCGTGGCTGTGGTGCTAACGGCAGACTGGGTGGGACTAAAAAGTTCAATCAATCAATTCCAACTTTGCAAGATCTTTTTTTTTCCCGCGAGAAGTTGAAATTGACTCATTGAACCTTTTTTTTTTTTTTTTGCACACGGTGGCAGAGGCCTAATGGGAAAAGGTTTTATAAAACCCAGCTGAAGGCCTAGGACTGGGGTGATGGTGCGTGTGCCCACAGAGAGGGCTCTGAGTGCCGCCTCTGGCACCCGTGCCATAGGTTCGCCACCACTGGGCTATCCAGATCTAGTAAGCATGTGTGAAGCTGGTCATTTGTGTGGTCGGGAAGTCTCAAAAATTCCTTCTGTAAGAAGATAATAAGCAGCGATGCAATTTTCAAAGAAGATCTCCTTGTCAGCCTCAAACAGGAATTCTGGATGCATTTTGAAATGTACACTCAGCTGGTGCAGAGACCTGAAATGACTGGTGGTACAAAAATTCATGAGGGCATGAGTTCTGGGTGTTGTGACATGCCCAGTAGTAATATAGGGAGATTTACCGCCCAGGCAACGCCACGTATTTAGTAGACAGATTCTAAAGATGGGCAGTTGGAAAAACACCACATTTGGCTAGCTGGATGTGTGAGCTTATTTGCATTGTGAAAGCTAAGATAAGAGAAAAGCTGCATTCCAGGCCTTAGAAATTAATGAAGATAATCTTATGCAAGGAAAGAAGGAAGGAAGGGAGGAGGATACTTGCAGTTCAAAGAAATTGTGAATTCATAAACAGCTGGGGGTTTGAAATCGGAGAGACAGAGCTGATACATTTATCTGTGGCATTTGGTTTCTCCTAATCTCATGGGAAATATTAAAAACTAGACCCATTCGACTCTCAGGGGTGGGCATGTCCTGGAAGGAACCAAAATCTTTGATGATGTCTCAATATAGAAGCATTGGCTCTTTTGCTTGTACTCCTGAGTTTTTATCCTGAATTGTTGTCTCCTTCCCATATTTTAGGGTTGACTTAACCTGCGTTCCTTGTTCAGGTATAGACTGCAGGCATTTTCATCTGTCACAAACTCATTCCTCATTCCATTTCTCCTGTCCCTCCCTCTTCCAGAGAACAGCCCATCTTCACCACCAGAGCACATGTCTTCCAAATTGACCCCACCACCAAGAAGAACTGGGTTCCTGCAAGCAAACAAGCAGTTACTGTTTCCTACTTCTATGACGGCACAAGGAACAGCTATCGAATAATCAGTGTGGATGGAACCAAGGTAACCAGATAACCTCTGGCATGGCTTGTAAAACTGGGGATACCATTGGTTGGGGCCATAATGGAAGTCCCATGTAGTAGTCTGCATTAACAGAAGGATAGAATCAAGATCACGTGGAATGTTAATACTACTTTATAATGTCTTGGTAAGGCCACACATGGAACATTGCATCCAGTAAAAAGGATGTTGAGACTCTGGAAAGAGTGCAGAGAAGAGCAACAAAGATGATTAGGGGACTGGAGGCTAAAATATAAGAACAGTTGCAGGAATTGGGTATGTCTAGTTTAATGAAAATAAGTACTGACATGATAGGAGTGTTCCAATATCTTAGTGGGGGGGGGCACAAAGAAGAGGGGTCAACCTATTTTCCAAAGCATCTGAAGGCAGAACAGGAAGCAATGGATGGAAACTAATCAAGGAAAGAACCAACCCAGAACTAAGGAGAAATTCCTGACAGAACAATTAATCAGTGGAATAACTTGTCTCCAGAAGTTGTGGGTGCTCCAACGCTGGAGGTTTTTAAGAAGAGATTGGACAGCCATTTATCTGAAATGGTATAGGGTCTCCTGCCTGAACAGGGAGTTGGACTTGAAAACCTCCAAGGTCCCTGTCAACTCTTATTCTGTTATTCTGTTAGATTGATTAGTTGGAGTTGGAGATTTTAGGAGTCTCAGGAATGTAGACTTAACAGGGAAGTCAAAACGGCATCCCCAAATGAGATGGTGGCAAGCCATTTTGGTATTGTTGCGAAGAAAACTCCATGGATACACCCCTGTACTAACAAAAGAGTTGCTCATCTTGAAGGAAACTTTATAATGTCCCATCTAAAGTTGGCACTTAGTCTGGAGGTTTTCTGAGAGCGGATAAAGATAGAGGTGTTTTGTGAGAATGACAGAAGTGGGCTAGATTATTTAGATTAGGCCTATCGTTATATTGTACATGAAAGGTTTTATAGTATTTACGTGAGTGGTGTTTTTCTGAATATTATGATTTATATGGCTGAAAGTCTTGTCTGAACATGGTAGTGTACCAAATTAACAAATCAATAAACACGTGTGATAAATTGATACAATTTTTAAAAAATACAGGGCCAACAATTTTGGGCAGTGGCCCAAGTTGGTAAAGATCTCTGGATGTAGTTTGAAACCATAGTTTGCCCACTGCTGAATCCAGCAACACCAGGATTATGGTATTTAGGGAGAAATATATAAAGGTGGAACAAGAAGAGTTCATTATTGTAGGACGCTCATGTTTTGGACAACAGTTATTTGTTTTTCTGGACAATTTTGTTTCCAACTGGGGAGTAAATAGGTTGAGAGTCGGTTTCCAGGTTACCTTTGGCTAACCAGATGATGCAACAGGTCGGCAATCTCTTAATGCAAAATAACTGTTCAATGTACTTTGGCAGCCAAAATACATCTGTTAAAATCAGTGGCATAGGAAGGGATTAAATAAGAATGTTTCTTTCTTGATTATAGAATAGAATAGAATAGAATAGAATAGAATAGAATAGAATAGAATAGAATAGAACAAATTTATTATTATTATTATTAACTAGCTGAACCCGGCCACGCGTTGCTGTGGCTCAGTCTGGTAAAAGCGTGTGTTGCTTTTACGTCCAACAGATGGCGCTGTTTTTCAAAAAAACCCCATGTTTTTACCTGTCACAGGTGTGACATCTATATAATAGTAGGTATATAAAAACACACGCGTATTCAAATGCAACGTTGTGTCAAAATTTCAAAGCAATCGGTGAAGAACTTTCGGAGATTTAAGATTTTGAACAAACAAACATTTACATTTTTATTTATATAGATTAATCAACGGAACAACTTACCTCCAGAAGTTGTGGATGCCCCATCATGGGAGGTTTTTTAAGAAGGGATAACGGTATAGGGTTTCCTGCCTGAGCAGTGGGTTGGACTAGATGACCTCCAAGGTCCCTTCCAACATTATTATTACTATTATTACTATTACTACTAGTATTACTACTACTGCTACTACTACTAATAATAATAATAATAATAATAACAACAACAACAACAATAACAATAATAATTTCTTCCTCTAGCAAGGCAAGGTGGATTTCCCCACAAGAAGCTTTGTGATGGGGTTGGCCTATTCAGGGAGTAACCACCCCAAAGAGGCTTACTTGACCCTTACTATAAATCGGTGCATTTCTAGCCCCAAGTAAAGACTTGAAAGTTTCCCGAAACGTATTAAGAAGCCATTGCAGAATGAATAAACGTTGCCTCCGTTGCCCATTTTATTATATCTGCTATATTTGTTATTTGTAGTTGTGGGGTTTTGGTTTTTTTTTAATCTCTCCCACACTGCTGCTTTTATTATTTACAATGTTTGGTGTTATTGTGCCTATTTTTAATGAATGCATTTACCCACCAGGAAGCTGTGGCTGTTAGGTGGTCTAGAAATCTGTTAAATAAATACATGAATGCCGTCTGGTTTTTCACCGGGGCTGTATAACACGCAGGAAAGGGTGGCTTAATCCTCCTTTCCCCAGCTGTGGTCCTGAATGAAGCATTCCTGCCTTTGCCTTATTAGCTTCAGAGAAGAAGAAGAAAAAGCCACAGGACTAATTTGCATGTTGGCTTTAATAATCTCATCCCTAGGTAGTTGTTTAGAAGTAGGCAGCAGTAGTGCAAGAAGCAGAGCTGTGTTTGCACGTGTCAAAAATGCTTCTGTACATCTTTCTCCTGGTAAGGATTTCAACAACAAGGACTAGAAAAAAAAGATTCATATAGGTTTGCAGAAAGAAAGAAAGAAAGAAAGAAAGAAAGAAAGAAAGAAAGAAAGAAAGAAAGAAAGAAAGAAAGAAAGAAAGAAAGAGAGAGAGAGAGAGAAAGAGAGAGAGAGAGAGAGAAAGAAAAGGAAAGAAAGAAAGAAAGAAAGAAAGAAAGAAAGAAAGAAAGAAAGAAAGAAAGAAAGAAAGAAAGAAAGAAATCAGGAAAATTGCATTGGGTGTGAAAGTACCCGATCATGACAATTACTGCACAACGTTAAGAGAAAAGTACAGATCAGCTCATTACAATTAACCTAGATTGGAGTCCCTCTAGAATAACGGTGACCCAAAAGAATAAAGGTTGACCGAGCATCAGCAGTTCTCTTCTTTTCCCTGGAGAGGCATGCCGAAGCTTCTCCTTTTGTTGAAATAAGCAACTTGCAAAGCTGAAGTGTAGGGAGGACGCCTTGACTGCTTTTTGGTTTACGGTAGAACAGGTGGTAGTGCCGTGGTTAGAATGAAGTATTGCAGGCTAATTCTGCCCACTGCCAGGAGTTCGATCCTGACCGGCTCAAGGTTGACTCAGCCTTCCATCCTTCCGAGGTCGGTAAAATGGGGACCCAGATTGTTGGGGGCAATTTGCTGACTCTGTAAACCGCTCAGAGAGGGCTATAAAAACACTATGAAGTGGTTTAGAAGTCCAAGTGCTATTGCCCTTCCTTCCTTCCTTCTTCCTTCCTTCCTTCCTTCCTTCCTTCCCATTGTGGCACAGTTCTTAGAATGCAATATTGCAGGCTAATTCTGCCAACTGCCAGAAGTTCGATCCTGACCAGCTCAAGGTTGACTCAGCCTTCCATCCTTCCGAGGTCGGTAAATATGAGGACCCAGATTGTTGGGGGGAATATGCTGACTCTGTAAACCGCTTAGAGAGGGCTGTAAAGAGCTATGGAGCAATATATAAGTCTATTGCTATTGCTATTTTAAAAAGTAGGCACAGTATGCGTCTCTGTGCAAAGTCACATCCAACGGAGTGTGTTTGTACTCTCTTGTACAGTTGCAGTGGCTAGAGGGTGTTGAGTTGGCAGGCCTAGGATGTGCCAAGTGAGAATGTGTGAAGACCTTTGGCGGATCAGATTCATCACCTCCTAGATTGATTTTGTACTTGTGAGCTCTTACTCCCTTTTCCCCTCCTACGTCTCACTTTGTGTACCAGCCACAGTATCTTATTTCTCCAGATGATGGAGGAAGCTCTGGAATATTCTTTCCTTCTGCAAGGATGTTTATTGTTCACTATTGTAGTTCACTGGCATTGTGCTGTGGGAAAAGTGACCTGATTGTCAACCCATAATGGACCTTGTTAGAAGCCAGCATACTAAGATCCTTTTACATCGTACAAGATGTTGAGACTCTAGATTGCAGAGAAGAGCAACCAAGATGATTAGGGGACTGGAGGCTAAATCACATGAAGAATGGGTATGTCTCGTTTAATGAAAAGAAGGACTAGAGGGAACATGATAGCAGTGTTATCGAAGGGGATGCCAGAAAGAAGAGAGGGTCAACGTATTCTCCGAAGCACCTGAAGGCAGGGCAAGAAGCAGTGGATGGAAATTAATCAAGGAGAGAAGCAACCTAGAACTGAGGAGAAATTTCCTGGCAGTGAGAGCAATCAACCAATGAAATAACTTGCCTCCAGAGGTTGTGGATGCTCCAGTATTGAAGGTTTTCAAGAAGAGATTGGACAACTATTTGTCTGAAATGGTATAAGGTCTCCAGCTTGAGAGGGACAGAAGACCTCCAAAGTCCCTACCAACTCAGTTGTTCTATTAATGCCTCTACATTTGTGAATTTCGGGAAGATTGACTCACACCAAGTGTGTAAGGGAGAACTGTATATTTCATTCTTTTCCAAGGCAGATCGTAATGGAGCACCTACAGTTCTTCAGCTTGCCTAGCTTGATACAGTTACAGATGGTCCTCGGCTCATGGTTATTTGTTTAACGAGCATTCAGAGTTACACTGATGCTGGAAAAAGTGACTTATGACCAGTCCCCACATTTAACAACTGTGGTCATGTGATCAAAAATCAGGCACTTGGCAACCGGCGAGCACCTGACTTTTTACAAAGGTCGCAGGGTCCTGAGGCCATTTGCAACCTTCTCAAGGGGGTTCCTACAAGCAAAGTCAATACGGGAAGTTGTGTTTGGTTAAAGACTGCATGATTTGCTTGACGATCGTGGTGATTTGTTGAACAACTGCGGCAA